ATCCACTCACCTCAGCCTCCCAAAGGTGCAGGATTACAGGCTGAGCCACCGAGCCTGGTTGAGGTCAACTTTTTAAACTCCCTCATTTGAGTGAGAATGTGGTATTTGTCTTTCTGTGCCTGGCTTTTTTCATTTAACATAATGATTTCCAGTTCCACCCATGTTGCAGGATTTATTGAATACCCATCATGTGCTTAGCACTGATAGCTATAGGATATTGGCTCTGCCATCAAGTAAGTACTAAGTATATTCTAATACTGTCAAACAACTACAGAGCTCATTATACTCTAAGAATGTGGATAAGTGTATAATACAAATTTAAGGAAAGTAGTGTGACAAAAGAAAAGGGGTGATACTTTTCATGTGGAGGACTTGAAAAGGTTTAAAGGGAGTATCTGAAATGAGGCTTAAAGGGTAAGCAGAATTTTGAGTGGAGAGAAAGGGGGCAGAGAAAGAAGGATACTTTTTTTTTTTTTTTTGAGTCAGAGTCTAACTCTTGTTACCCAGGCTGGAGTTCAGTGGCATGACCTCGGCTCACTGCAGCCTCAGTCTCCTGGACTCAGATGATGGATCCTTCCACTTCAGCCTCCTGAGTAGCTGGGATTACAGGTACACACCACCACACCCAGCCTTACTTGTGTTGAAAATGAACAATCAACAGTGCTGAAATAAGATAGTGCATGGAAGAATATGATTATGGGAAAGGTGGTCTTTTGTAGTTGGAGTAGAATGCATGAAGTGAGACAGACTAAGGAATTTTGGCTTTAGTCTATACACCACTCTTTTCAAAGTGTGATACAGTCAAAATGTTCCATTAAGTGGTCCAATAACTATATTTGCATGCTAATGTCTGAAAAATTCTGTGTTGGGAGATAATTCTTCATGGGGTTCTCATGTTTCTGTACATCACGTGGGCAAAGGCACTAACTACCTTTGTTCAGGATGATCTTCTCAAGGATATTTGATACTTAGAAGACAGATATAAAGTCTCCCTCCAAAGCATAGGGCAGGCATGCTTACCACTCATTACAGAAGTTTAGAGTTCCCAGAGTCTGGTGTTCCTCTCAAGTAATGCAACTCATTGGTCCTTTTGGCATTGCCCTATGAGAAGCGGGGCTTGGGAAACTAGTACAAGAAAATACAGATACTTTGGGTACTTGTTGTTGTGAGTATTAAAGTCCTTTAACTTGAGCTGGCTGCAGTAGCACATGCCTGTAATTCCAGTTACTCAGGAAGCTGAGACGGAAGGACTACTTGAGCCTAGGAGTTGAAGACAAGCCTGGGCATCATAGTGATTCCCACCTTAAACAAACAGTCCTTAACTCTGACCCAGGAGTGTCATATCCTCTGCCAGCATCCATGAAACTGGTAGCTTAACTTGTTACCTCACAAGTAGTGTAAGAACTCAGACACTTCACAGTTCTTGAATCCTGAAGTAAGGGGGGAAAAAAGCTTAATTTTATTTAAATTAGGCTTTCCCAAATTTAATTTTTTCCAAGTATTCTTATATTAATAATAATTAATATAACACTGTAGGAAAATCTCTGGGCAATATTCTAGGAGGCAATATGGAAAGTAAGGATTAAAAAGCTACTGCATTAGCTCGAATGAGAGTTGATGAGGGCATTGGGATATAAAGGAGGGATGGCTAAGACACATGTTATACAAGAAGATGAAGATGATTAAGAAGTGTCACTAATGATACAGAACACAAGAAGGTCAGTTTTGGGTGAATATGGGAGAGACAGGAGTTTAATTTGGGACATAGTGAATTTCTGGACTGGGAAGTCATTCCTGCAAAGCTGTATAGCCAGGAGTTATACCCAGATCTTTCCTTTTATGTTTTATACAACTCTTATGGAGTAAAACATGTCCAAATATATGAGTTAGACACATTTATAAGCAAAGAAAAAAATGGAATTTATGTGCTTGAGTGCTTATATCCAAGGGGAAATAACTAGCAAAGAGGCTGAAGTTAAAAATACAGTTGTCAGAGGCCATGATTGACAGAGCAGGTGGGTATGGGACCCAGGTCATAGGAAAATAGTTCAGCTTTGAATAAGATAAAAGATCTTTTTCACTAAGAGTCAAGGGGGTAGATAGAAGCATGGCTCTACTAAGGACTTCAGTATTACATAATAGTGGGATTCATGCTATGATTTAAAAAAATTACTTGATAAATTGTACACTTAAAATAGTTAAAAAGGTAAATTTTGTTTTATATATTTTACCACAATAAAAATAAATGTTGCTTGATTATTACCTAGTTTCCATATTTTAGTAGGTTAGCATCGATCACTATATTTTATGGTTAGCTCAAGTTTAGCTTTTAGCTGACTAACTACCGTAGATCTTACATAAAACCAGGACATCTTGTAGTCACTGAAAAATATGTATACCACTTTATCCACATTTTGCCTATTCCTACATAGCAGAATAAATCAAAGATCTCACCATCTGAAATACATCAGAGCCTTCATCAAAATCCACCATTGCAAAAAATATCCTGTTGGTAAATGCACTGGAGTATCGCCAGGAGTTTGCCAGGATCTGGAACTCTTCATCAGCTTGCCTGGATATAATCAGATTTGTGAAGATAACATATAGAACAGTTTTTTAAAAGCAATCTAGCTTATCAGCAACCAAGCAACAGATGTTATTTCAATGGGAGAAATATTTTTAAAAATACACTGACAAGTAAGTAAGACTCTGCTGAGAGTTAGAATAAACCTTGTTATGGCATAAGAGAAGCCTTATCTGTAGTGTTGAGGATTTCACCAGAAAGTTATAATTACCTGACTCCACTTCTTATTTTATGCCTGTTTCTTATCCCAAAGCTCTTACAGTACTCAATGGAAAAATACAGCGAATTGTCTCCACAACAATTTTGTTTTGAGTTGGGGTCTCAATCTTCGCCCAGGCTGGAGTGCAGTGGCATGATCACAACTCACCACAGTCTTGACCTCTTGATCTCAGGTGATCCTTCTGCCTCAGCCTCCTGAGGAGCTGGGACTGCAGGCATTTGCCACTACAACTATCGAACTTTTTTTTTTTTAGTCAGAGTCTCTCTCTGTCGCCCAGGCTGGAGTGCAGTGGCACACTCATGGCTACCGCAGCCTTGACCTGCTGGGCTCAGGCAATTCTTCCACCTCAGCTTTCCAAGTAGCTATAACTATAGGTACGCACCACCACACACAGCTAATTTTTTGATTTATTGTAGAGACGAGGTCTCACCAAGTTTCCCAGGCTGCTCTGAACCCCTGGGTTGGTTCAAGCAATCCTCTCGCCTCAGCCTCCCAAAGTGTTGGGATTACAGTCTTGAGCCACTGTGCCCGGCTCTATAATTTTAAAATTTTTTTTGTACAGATGAGGTCTCGCTATGTTGCCTAGGCTGGTCTCAAACTTCTGAGTTCAAGTGATCCTCCTACCTTGGCCTCCCAAAGTGCTGGGACTACAGGTATGAGCTACCACCCCCAGCCCACAACAATCTTTAATACCCTAAATTACTTCTAAGAGTTCAAGGACAAGGCAGAAGCATTTTCTCTAGAGAAAGTAGAACTACAATATTAATCCATTTAAAAATTCTGAAGCACAAATGCCACTTAGTAAATAAAAACACAATCAAATAAATCGTTAAAATGAAAGATAAGAAGAGTCTAGAGAATTAAAAAAATTCTTTTTCTGAGTTGGAGTCTCACTCTGTCCCCCAGACTGGAGTGCAGTACCACACTCATGGCCACCACAGCCTCCGCCTGCTGGGCTCATGCGGTCCTTCCGTCTTAGCCTTTCATTTTTTTTTTTTTTTTGAGTTGGAGCTCACTCTATCGCCCAGACTGGAGTGCAGTGACCGCTCCTGGCCACCGCAGCCTCGACCTGCTGGGCTCCGGCGATCCCTCCGCCTCTGCTGTCCAAGTAGCCAGAACTACAGGCACGCGCTACCACGCCCGTCTAATTTTTTGATTTATTGTAGAGATGAGGTCTCACCAAGTCGCCCAGGCGGGTCTCGAACCCCGGGGCTCAGGCAATCCACTCACCTCAGCCTCCCAAAGGCCCGGGATTACAGGTTGAGCCACCGAGCCCGGCTTAGTGTGCCATTTTTTAATACTCTCAATTGCTAGTGAATGAACTGCCTGAATTTGAAGTAATTCTAGATTAAGTTTATTAATAGTTAATACTACTCCTATTCCTTCTATTTATTTTAAATTTACATTCAGCATACACCTCCCCTCAGATAAGGACTATGGAACCCAATACTTTGATTATCCTTCAGCTGCAGGGAGAAAATCCTTGAAGAAAAGTTATCAAGGCTTGGGGTAGCATAACACAGTATTTTGAAACAAGGCTGTCTATCCTTTCACATGGCCCAGGTTGTCAGAAAGTCTCCAAGTTTTTACTAAACCAGTTCTTCACAGGGTAGCTTAGTCATATTATTTACAGTGAATTCCCAGATCAGACCTACTGATCTAAAAATCTAAATAAAAAGATACTAAAAAGCAAAAACTACTTTATTTTTTAGTATCCATCATTTTGAAATGATCATGGTGTCTTTATTAAAGAAATAGCAATCTTTATTCCTAAGATCATTCAGAAACAGTTAAATAAAATCATTGATGAAAATTTAAGTGAGATTAGTCTACATCTATAAGGTTTACAAACATCTTTAAATCATGGATCTTTGGGTTTCTTTCTTTTTTTTTGAATTGGAGTCTCATTCTTGTCGCCCAGGCAGGAGTGCAGTGACATGCTCACGACCACTGCAGCCTTGGCCTGCTGGGCTCAGATGATCCTTCTGCTTCAGCCTTCCAAGTAGCTGGAACTACAGGCATGCACTACCACACCTGGCTATTTTTTTTTTTTTTTTTGAGTTGGAGTCTCACTCTGTCGCCCAGACTGGAGTGCAGTGGCCGCTCCCAGCCACTGCAGCCTCGACCTGCTGGGCTCCGGCGATCCTTCCGCCTCAGCCTTCCAAGTAGCTGGAAATACAGGCACGCGCTACCACGCCCGGCTAATTTTTTTGATTTATTGTAGAGATGAGGTCTCGCCAAGTTGCCCAGGCGGGTCTCGAACCCTCAGGCTCAGGCAATCCACTCACCTCAGCCTCCCAAAGGCGCGGGATTACAGGCTGAGCCACTGAGCCCAGCTCTAATTTTTTAATTTATTGTAGAGATGAGATCTTGCCAAGTTGCTCGGGATAGTCTTGAACTGCTAGGCTCGGGTAATCCCCTCGCCTCCACCTCCCAAAGTGCTGGGATTACAGGTGTGAACCATTGCGCCTGGTGCATCTTTGTTTTTAAAAAAAGTTGGAATACGATCAGATGAAGTCACCATTACTGCATTAATGAATCTCTCAATCTTTGGGTTGACCAGTTAAAATTTTAGAGTCTGTTTCTTCCAAAAATGGTAGATTGCTTTATCTGCCTTCTGAGATTGCTCTGATAAAGCAAGAATATGAAGCTGAAACCACTTATAAGTAATAAAACACTGCATCAATGCTATTGGCATACATTTACATAAGCTGATACCAATTTATGATTGTTTGATTTTAAAGTTATTTGTATGATGGCTGCCACAACTCTATCCATGCTCCTCCCACTATTATGAACAACCAATCATTAATTGACTACAAAAGAGCAGTAGTTACCACAGATTTCCTAAATAAGGTATACATATTAATTAATTAACTATGTACCCACTGAACTTATTTGGTTTTTCTGATATTGAGAAATGGTTAACATTTTATGACTTATTTAATTTTAAATAACTTTAAAAGTTCATACTTGCAAACGACACACTGTCTATGAAGTTGGAGAGCAGTGAACATGACAATAACGGAGTAATTTCTCGGTGGGGCTTTAACAAGGCGACGAAACTTGTCTCCATTCATTCTTATTACAGGTCTTTTATTGGTCCATTCCATCAGTTGACTAACCTTTTCAGATAACACCATCTAAAAAAGACAAAGTGAGCACGTTATTAATGTGCTCACTTGGCTTTTAAAGTTCCTTTAGTTAGGCAACTTATTTAAAACCAAGACTAATAAGCAGAGGTACACAGAAAATATGAGTAATCTAAAAATAAACTTTGGTAGTTGGGCAGGATAATAATTATTCTTAAAATATATTATTTCATAAGATTTAATAAGACAGTATACTCATTGGTGTGAATTACTTATTATTTGCTAATAAATAAAATCAGATAAAAATCATTCAATATTTTACTTGCCAAAGAGTCCAAAGAATGTTGAATTAAATCAACCAGCTAGTTTCATATAAAATTTTACTTCTCTTAAACTAAAATCTTAAAATCTTAAAAATTAAGAGTAAAGTGGGAGGAATCACTCTACCCAATTTTTAGGTTTACTATACAGTTACAAAAATCAAAACAGTATGGTACTGATGAAGCATAGACACAGATCAACAGAACAGATAAAGAATTCAGAAACAGATCCAAACAAGTATAGTCTAAAGACTGCACAGAGTACAAAAGCAACTCAGTGGAGGAAAAACAGCCTTTCAACAAATGGTGTAGATGCAATTGGTTATTCATAGCTAAAAGTATGAACCTCTAAACAAACTTCACACCTGATACAAAAATGAACTCAAAATGGATCACATAATTGTAAAACATAAAACTAAAGAGGGAAAAAATAAGAGAAAATATTCAGACTCTAGGGGTAGGAAAAGGGTTCTTAGACTGGACACTAAAAGCAGGATCCATAAAAATAAAAAATTAATAAGCTGAATCTCATCAAAATTAAAAACTCAGCTAGGTGTGGTGGCTCACGCCTGTAATCCCAGCACTTTGGGAGGCCGGGGCAGGAGAATCTCTTGAGCCTAGGAGTGAGACAAGTCTAGGCAATATAGTGTGACTCCATCTCTACAAAAAAAAAATATATTAAAAAAAAATAGCCAGGCATGTGGTACACACCTGTAGTTCTACCTACTTGGGAGGCTGAGGCAGATGGATTGTCTGAACCCAGGAGGTTGAGGTTGTGGACCTCCAGCTTGGTTGATGGAGTGAGACTTCAACTCAAAAAAAAAAAAAAGAAAAAGAGTATAGGAATCCATTAATTATCATTTAAAGCTAAAATTCAAATCTGCCATTCAGATATCTTTTGAATTTCAGAAGAAATAAAGCTAAGTACCACCAGTTCAATTGTATCTTCATTCTAACCACCAGGATTTGTTCATAAAAATTCTTATTTATTTATTTATCCATTCATTCATTCATTTACTTTAGGTCCAAGATCTCTCTAGCTTGTCCAGTCTGGTTTCGAATTCTTGGGCTCAAGCAATCCTCCAGCCTTGGCCTCCCAAAGTGCTGGGATTATAGGCATGGTCCCAAATGCTGTCTTAATTCCTGGTTCTCAACTACAAGACCATGAGATTTCTCTCCTAAAAACTGATTTTCTAGCAAAGTTTTTGGTCCTCTTCTTCCAAATCTACCACTAACTGCTCCATCCCATTCATTCGAGCTTTCTTTTCATCTCTGGCAGCCTGGGCTGCTACTCTGTTTTTCAATTTACTCTTCAGCACCTTCTCCCGGTAGGACCTTGGCCACCACCTCCTGGCTGGCGACTCACCATGAGTGACAGGTCCCTGCGGGCCTGGGCTCCAGGGGCAGTGGCAGTGGACTGACCCAACAGAAGCTGTACTTTGGGGAGTCGCTGTGGGCCGGCTTGGTGCAGCTGCTGCCACCACCACCATGGCCCCATACAATCTACAACGTGACTCCATATTTTTAACTTTCCTAATCATCTACTAGTCTTTAGATGTTAGTAAAATAAAAATTCCTGGGCTGGGTGCAATGGCTCATGCCTGTAATCCCAGCATTTTGAGAGGCTGATGAGGCATGATTGCTTGAGGCCAGGAGTTTGAGATCAGCCTGGGCAACATAATGAGACCCTGTCTCCACACACATTTAAAAAAAATTACTCAAGCCTGTTGTCCTACACGCCTGTAGTCCTAGCTACTCAGGAGGCTGAGGTAGGAGGATCACTTGAGACTAGGAATTCGAGGATACAGTGAGCCAGGATCGTGTCACTGCACGCCAGCCTAGGTGACAGAGCAAGATCTTGTCTCTTAAAAATAAATAAATAAGTAAATAAATGAAAAAAGAGTAAAATTCCTAGCTAAGCAATATATTTTCAGTTCCATCCTTAATTAAGGGTCAGACTGAAGAGATCTGGAAATATAATTGGTGAATAATTACAGAAGGAGATAGACAGTGAACAGAGAAGAGAGCATTTTAAATTCTTTTTTTTTTTTTTGAGTTGGAGTCTCACTCGGTCGCCCAGACCGGAGTGCAGTAGCCACTCCCAGCCACCGCAGCCTCGACCTGCTGGGCTCCGGCAATCTTTCCGCCTCAGCCTTCTGAGTAGCTGGAATTACAGGCATGTGCTACCACACCTGGCTGATTTTTTGATTTATTTAGAGATGAGGTCTCGCTGCCCAGGCGGGTCTCGAACCCGCGGGCTCAGGCAATCCACTCACCTCAGCCTCCCAAAGGCACAGGATTACAGGCTGAGCCACCGAGCCCGGCACATTTTTAATTCTTAAATGCCATCTGCTCCATTCTCAGTTCATCTACTTCCTGGACACCGCGAAAATATATCACTGTCTCTTTCTTTAATTTTTTATTTTTGGGGGAGTATCTCAACTTGTCCTGCAACTGCTACTGATCTTATTTCTCTATAATAAGATATTTTCTAAAGAATTGCAGGGTTTTTTGTACATATCATACTTTCATACATCAGTTATAAAAGCAAAGTATTTTCTTTTTCTTTTTTTTGAGTTGGAATCTCACTTTGTCACCCAGACTGGAGTGCAGTGGCATGCTTCCGGCCACCGCAGCCTTGACCTGCTGGGTTTTGGCGATCCTTCCACCTCAGCCTTCCAAAATAGTCAGAATGACAGGCACGCGCTACCACGCCCAGCTAATTTTTGATTTATTGTAGAGACAAGGTCTCACCAAGTTGCCCAGGCGAGTCTCGAGCCCGCGGGCTCAGGCAATCCACTCACCTCAGCCTCCCAAAGTGCTGGGATTACACAGGCTGAGCCACCGAGCCCGGCCACAAAGTGTTTTCAATGATAGCCTGCCTTGTTAAAATATGGTGACTCTATTTTCTGAATATTTCTCATAAAAACATCATAAAAAGATCAAGCGGAAAATATTTTACTACTTAGAGAACCTGACCTAATTTTATTTTCTAAAATTTCTCTAACATCTTCTATACGGTACACCACAGCCTTAATTTCATTTAATTTTCACAATAGCCAAAGAAATATGCATTTTTCCATTCTACTGTTGAGAAAAATGAAACTGAGACTAACTTGCTAAAGATCACTGGAGTTTAATTAATGTACATTCTCTTTAAAATTCTACAGAATCGGCCAGGTACAGTGGCTCATGCCTGTAATCCCAGCACTTTGGGAGGCCGAGACGAAATGACTGCCTGAGTCCAGGGGTTAGAGACCAGCCTGGGCAACTTGGCAAGACCTCATCTCTACAATAAATTTAAAAATTAGCCAGTGTGGTGGTGCACACCTGTAGTTCCAGCTACTTGGAAGGCTGAGGTGGAAGGATCACCTGAGCCCAGCAGGTCAAGGCTGTGGCAGCTGTAAGCATGCTACTGCTCTCTAGCCTGGGCAACAGAGTGAGACTCCAATTCAAAATAAATGAATAAATAAAATTCTACAGAATCTTTTGGAAAACTGAGAGGGGAGTGCCTATCTACCATCCTAACATTATGATGACCATTTTTATTATGTTTCAGTGGGCATTCTGCATTCATCTTTTTCCATATTGCATATCATTTGTCTATTATTATAGATTCCCAGAAGTAAATAAAGAAATATGAATAATTTTTATCAAAGATCATGCTTTTCTTTTTCTTTCTTTTTTTTTTTTGTTGTTACAGACAGGGGCTTGCTCTGTCTCCCAGGCTGGAGTGCAGTGATGCAATCATAGCTCACTGCAGCCTTGAATTCCTGGGCTCAAACAATCTTCCTGTCATCTCAGCCTCCTGAATAGCTGGGACTACAGGCACACGTCTGGCTAATTTTTGTGATTTTTTTTATAGAGACGAAGTCTTACTATGTTGCCTAGGCTGGTCTTGAACTCCTGGGCTCAAGCAATCCTCCCACCTTGGCCTCCCAAAGTGCTGGGATTACAGGTGTGAGCCACCATCCCAGACCATGCTTTTTCATTTTTATCACGCTGCCTCCCTAAGACAATACCAGATGGAAGGACAAGCAACTTCCCTTCTATCACAGGGGGAAAATGACTCACCATAAAAATAAAATCAGTCATTGCAAACACAAGCCCTTTTGGCCTAGCAAAGAGCATAGGCTTTGGAGTTAGACAGACCAGGGGATCCCAGAACAGTTTCTTAGAACTATGTTTCTTTTTTTTTTAATAGCAATGATGAGGTCTTGTTATGTTGCCTACACTATTGTTGAACACCTGGGCTTAAGCAAGCTTCTCACCTAAGCTTCCCAAAGTGCTAGGAATACAGGCATGAGGTACTGTGCCTGTCCTTTTTTTTTTCCTAATTTTTAAAAAATAGAAACAAAAAAATTGACACAGAAAAAAAAAAAGAAAGAAACAAGGTTTTTCTATGTTGCCCAGGCTGGCATAGAACTCCTGAGCTCAAGCAATTCTCCCGTCTGTCTCCCAAAGTGCTGGTATTACAGGCGTGAGCCACCGTGTCTGGTTAGAATTGTGCTTCTTTGACCAAGTCAACTTCTCTCTTGCTTAGCATCAGTGCCCTCATCTTTCAAAAGGGGTTAATACTTACTCTGTAGTGTTAATGTGAAGAGTATAGATAATGCATGTAAACCATGTTGCCTGGCATGCAGAAGGCATTCAGAAATATTAGAGAATAAACTGGTTGTGCACGGTGGCTCACCCCTGTAATCCCAGCACTTTGGGAGGCCAAGGCAAGAG